AATTTTTTTTTTTTTTTTTTTTTTTTTTAAATTTCTTGAATTGCACGATTTCGTATGTTAAGTTGGATATGATCGAAAGTTTCATGACATATTTCTATTTTCATCTAATATGACTAGTTCGATTTAGAATTGTTGAGAGCCCAAATTTAATATATAGACGCATCATTTCTCTTATTTCGTAATGTTATCTTTTCAATACAATTAATTATACTCACCACATTATCCTTTAAAATATATTAAGTTCAAAATTTCAAATATCACACTAGTTTTTAATAATTTTAATGCAAAAAGGCTCACTGAAGTCTTGTAGGCTCTTTTGAATGGCTACTATCAAAAAGGAAACAGTTACATTCAAATTCCTTTCTTTAAATGACAATAATATCCCTGTGGAACCACAAAATTAAATAATAACACAAAAAAAAAAAAAAAAAAAAAAAAAAAAAAAAAAAAAAAAGCCAGCAGAAGCCCAGGTTTCGTGGTGGGCCGTTTAGTGGGTGGGGCCCGTAAGTATTCTTTTGTCTCCTTCCTACCCTAATTAACAACAAAATGCAGCCCACTTATATATCTTTATTACTTGCTCTAGCTTTATTACTTGTCCCTCTCACGTGCCACACCACACCACACCACACCAGGCCCGCGTGAGGCCCACTTTTTGCATGATGGGCGGCCCGCTATCAACGTGCGCGAATCAGTATTGTGTTTTCCGTAACTTATGATGTCTGAAAATTTGGGGGTGTGTACATATTTTAGATTAGGGAACACCACATAAATCCTCCATTTAAAAGTCACATTTCAAAATTAACAAATTTCTAAAAATCTTTCAAAAATCAGGTGATAATTAAATTTATTAAATATTAATTATAATATAGTATAATTAATTTACTTATCCACCCCACCTCACCTCCAACCCCACCCACCCATCACATCAAACCCTTTTATTTCTCTCTCTACACCACTCCACCTCCGACGACTTCTCCAGTGACAATTCTGGCGATTGTTCTGATGACAATTCTGACGACCTCTCGATGATGCTCCGACAACCGCTCGACGAATATTTCGATGATCGATCACCTTTTCGGCGACTACCTTTTTTCTTCTTTTTTAACAATGATCTGTTACCAGTTCTATTAAATCTATGACTAATTCTATTGAATTGGCTATTATTCTTTCTTTCACAGCCCCCCATCCACCCCATAGACCTCCCATCCCGAAGCATAGTTAATGAGGCAAAACCTTGTACTTCTCACCATAAGTAGCTAAATATTTCAGTAAGAGAATGCCATCAAATCGGTCTTTTTGCTTATTTGCCAGCTGGTCAATCCAAGCCTAATCCTACTTTCCAAGCACAAGGCATCTGACCTAATTAAGTGGAATTAATATGCATATAATTAATTTCAATATTAAGAAATAAAGTTTGAAATTTCACGTATTATATATGACCATACCTGTGTTATATGTGACCAATTCACTGACTTATGTTATCTGAGAATTGTCGTGACCAACTTTGCCTTCGACGTGACTAATTGTGACTAAATTTGTATTCATTGTGACTTTGTGTGACTAGATCAATCTTAAGTCACAACCGATCACAATCAATGCAAAATTGGTTACAAACAGTCACAACCAGATTTCGAACAGAAAAAACCAGCTCTCCAACCACCACAGCAGATCTGCTCGAAAAAATAATAATCACCACCATTACTAACATCTTTAACTCAAATTGATGACCATAATTACTACATTCACCTCAAATCCACAACAATCATCACTATCATAACTTCCACCAATCCTTCAAAAAAAAACACCAACCAGCACCACCACACTTCTCTCGTGAAACTCCGGTGAGAAAAGTGGTAGGTGGTCGAATCTAGAGGATGGGTGGGGAAGAAGTCCTAGATCTGATTTTTGGATAAGAGAGTGCCGACCTAAACACCAATCCTTCAAAAAAAAACACCAACCAGCACCACCACACTTCTCTCGTGAAACTCCGGTGAGAAAAGTGGTAGGTGGTCGAATCTAGAGGATGGGTGGGGAAGAAGTCCTAGATCTGATTTTTGGATAAGAGAGTGCCGACCTAAATTTGGGGGGGGGGGGAATAGAGCTTATGGGTTAAAAGTTGATACAATATCTGGAGTAAATTGATACGGGGTCTGTGATCAAGTTTATATTCAATGTGACTGTCTGTGACCAGATCAATCTCAAGTCACTACCGATCACAATCAACACAAAATAGGTCACAAACAGTCACAACAAGATCTCGAACAGAAAATATCAGATCTCCAACCACCACAACAGATCTGTTTGGAAAAATAATTACCACCACCACTACTAACATCTTTAACTAAATCCACAATAACAATCACCACTACCAT